ATTTTTTAGGTTTGTCGGATCGAAGCCCTCCCGCTCACATTGATAATAATTTTGCTCCTAACCCCTGAAATTTAAATGGATTTCAGCCCATGTGTGGATACTTATTTAAGGAGGTTGCTTCACAGGAAAAAAAGTTCACAGTCACTGAGAGGCAAACAAACGTAATTTCCGAGGCCGTTCCCGTAACTGATAACAGTTATCTAACCACCAGCTGCAGGCTGTCGCGTATTAATTCGGTACATGGAATTTCTACGTCAAATGTTACTGATACTCTCCGTTCCGTGCGTACCGCAACGTTCCCCCGGATAACGGACGTATCGATACGACCGCACTGGTGTTATCAATAGCACCGTGTCCGTTCCGTATTGTCGCGAAACGTTTAGGCGATTCCGTAAAACGACCAGTGACATATTCGGTGAATGGAGATTGTAGAATCGTTCACTGAACTGATCTAGTGATTTGTTCATTTCAACTCTTTCGTTTGTAAACGACACGTATCTAATGGACGATGAATTATTCGATTCACTGGAATCATTCGGAAGCGAGCCAGCCGAACTTAAACTCGGCTCAACGTTTTCGGGAAAAGGTCCTGGATTCCATACGTTACGATGTAAGTAAATGTTTATAAATAATGAATTGATACCTTCAACAATACTGACTAATAGGTAACTATTTCCTACCAACGTTGCTCGGGATTAATTGTAATTCCGGTTGAATTTATTTGATCCCAGACTCGAATGCCCTTGTATTATGTTTAAAATATCACATCTGAAACTAAGGCAAATAAAAGATTTGCGACAAATAAATTAGGTATGGAAATCATTGTGTAAACTGAATGCACAATGCCAATGCGTATGGATCAGATTATAATGAATATCCATTGTTACGTGTACTACAATGTTCATGATTTTGAAAATTACTTCACTGATCAAAAACAAATTTCTATAATATGTATAACTTATATTATTACATCTGGAGATTTTTTAATTAAAACTTATTTTCCAAATGTATGAACCTATCTCACAACACTCAAATAAATAATTTTCAGATGATTTTAAACCTGCAAGTGTAGATATAAACAAACCAGCTAGTGTTGATATAAGTTCGGCAAATCGTGAAGTCACAGTTTCATTACCCAACTTTGATGGTGCTGGTGCAGCACACACAGTGTATAAAGGGTCTCACAAAGATTACACAAAAGAATGTGTTCTCATTATAGACCATACGACTGGAGAAATAACATTAGAAAAACTCACCACTAATGTACAACTCAAATCAACGAGGTAAATATTGGCTATAATTTATTAAAGTTTAAATAAATATTGATATCTAATATATATATAAACAATTTTCAGAAATGCGGTTGAGAAACCACAAAAACCTGTAGTACAGATTAATCCAGTATTGTCTGAAAAAAATAGGACGGCTACTGTAGATAAACGATTGAAAGGCAAAATCCAACAAAAAAAACAAGTTAAAAAATCTCCCAAAAAAGCTTCTCAGTCACCCAAAGTGGCAAATTTATCACCACCAAATAATGCTCAACATATGAATAAATCGCCGCAATTTTTCATGTAATTATGATGCATTTGAGTATAATAATAGTAACTTGAATAATATTTTTATACTATTTAGTTGTTATGACTGAAAAAATATGTAATTGTTCTTATTAAAGGTCGGAATCTCCAAAGTCTTCCAGTCTTCCATTACTAAATGATGATGATTGCTCAATGACTGGGTTCGATTCCCAAGCACATCCCAGTTTTTCGTTATCTGATATCAAAACGGAGATTAAGACAGAGATTAAAACAGAAGTAAGTTTTAATTTAAAATTAACCTAGTTGGTACAACAATACAGTGTTATATTTTCACAATTTTTTAGACCATTTTATTTTTAAATCTTATAAGTAGGTAATCATTAAAATTATATTAGAGCACTATTTGTTTTATATCTGACCCAAGCATAACATATATTATTTGTGTTCACCTCTGTTGTTGACTTTAATATTAGAGTGAATTAACCTATTATCAAACTTAAAGTTAGGTACATTATATTTTTTATGATATTTTAATAGTTATGAAGTTATTAAAATGTAACATATTGCAATTTTAAAATGCTCACATATCACAGAAAAATGTAAATATTGTTAAAAAGCCGACCTACAAACCCAGATAATGTTCTTAACTTAAAATGTTACAATAGGCCAATTCACTCTAATATTAAAGCTAATTCAACAAAGATTTGTCCTACAGAACAAAAATTTGTCAAATTGAGCAAGAATCAAAGAGAGAAAACAAATAACCTCCTGACATTCTCCTAATATATGTTATTCAAATAATACTTAAGGCCGCTTTCACCACTACTTTAAACTCCGATTAAAGTTAAACTGGGGTTTAATCAACCGAATTTGCCCGGTTAAATATCTGTTATCAGTCGATTAAGCGTAATCGAAGTTTAAAGTATTTGGTGAAAGCGGCCCCCTTAATTAACTGCTATGCACTTTTTTAATATTCATAATATTAGTTTGTTTCACGAATAAATAAGTCTGAATAAAATTTTAAATATTTAAAAATTAGATACACAATACTGGTTCCGTTAGTGAATTATTTGATCTCAATGGGATGTAAAATTACTATCAATTGCTATGTTATATTTTTATCACCAATATTTACTAATTTTAAATAGCCCCGGTAGGTAAATCTAATCTGCAGATTGAAATTAGAGAATCTTTTGGACACTTAAGTATTGGAGTATATTGTGTCTTAAGAATTTTGGTGAATTTTTAATTACTTAACTAGTGTTGGTTTCGGCTGTGTTGATACTTTATTCTGCTAAGTGCTAAATATTTAAGTTATCTCTACCAAAAGCACATTAAGACGACTCTACCCAGACATATTTTGTTGTCTCCATCTTACAAGTGCGTAACATAGCAAATTGTACACACAGCAAATGAGGTTTAGCTCTGTTATTTTAAAAATTAGAGTGAATTGACCTCTTCAATTTAAAGGGAAGATTATTACGTAGGACATCTCTTAGGCTTTTTGTTATATTTTAATTTTAAAGCAAGTTATGAGTATTTTAAAAATCAAAATAACATTGTATTTGCTCAGTTTTTTCCTATACGTATAGTTCACAATACTTTTTTGACCATTTATATCATGTACGTTGTGGCTAATTATAAATGAGATCTCTATATTTAATTTAGTTAATGATTCGCTTCATTATACTCATATCTATGAATTTTATATGCAACCTATTGCTAGGTTGCATAAACAATTTATTAAATTTAATGGACCAATCGTGGGCCACTAAATCTTGTTTAAGGGACCATTACCTCACTATTAATTAATTAAATGTTTTGTGCAACCTGGCATATGCCTTCTATTTTTTAAAGCAGTGCTTCAAGTCATAAAATGTCAAGTTAGTGGATCCGCCACTTTTGTCTTATATTTTCTTGTACCGACCCAAAATGAGTTATATTTAACAAATAAATAAAAAAACATTAATCAATACATTCATCGCTCCATTTAGAATCTAAAAGGTTATTCAATGTACTAGGATGTCCTGGATGTTCTTCCACTCCATCTCCTACTATACCTTTTATACCACTCAAAAAATTGATATGTTACATGGTAACCTTCCTATTCATTTCAGTTAACAATTTATAAGATTCCGTCAAAGATTTATTAATTTAACCTGAAATTTGTTTATTTTAAATTTAAATTTTTATCTTTGATATAAGTCTGAAATATTATGGTATGGTGTCCAATTCAAAAATTGTAAAATAATTACAATACCACACGATGTTTTGGATCAGTTATCCCATTTTTTAATTAGCAACACCTGGTACATTACTGTATTATTTCTAATGTAAATATTAATTATTATTTTTATTTAGTTAAATTTTTTTTTTTTCAATTAGGACTGTTATGAAAGTTTTTACATTAAATTTATTTATGGGACATAAAGATTTTTCACAGACTTACAAAAATGAAAAAATAACAGTTTTTCTTTTAGGCATACCATAAAATATATTTTTTTATCTTTATTACCGTTTTTTATCCACAACAAATAGGAAAAACTACAAATAATTTATATTAATTCTTTTATATATATATTTCTCTATTAAACATATATTTACAACAACATTTTTACAATTCTTATAAATTGTACAAAGATATTTTTTGATATATATATGTTTTAAGGAATTTGTAGCTGTTTACTTTTTAGGTACTTGAGATTGAAAAATAAAATTAAAATAACTAATAAAAATTATCAAATTACTTATACGTATATCTAACAAGTTTTCAAAATATTTAATTAAGTATTATTTTTTATGAATAAGATACATAAAACAAAATTAAAGTATTGAAAAATATTTTATAAAATTATTTTTTTTGTATCATATAATATTAGACATTTTGTTACTAATTAATTATTTTTAATTTTACAGTCCTATGACGATTTGGTCCCTGCAGCTAGAAGTTTAGAACTTAGCGAATCATCTAGTGATTCTGGATCAAGTAGTTCATCAGATAGTGACAGTGATGATTCAACAACACCTCCTCCACCTGTTTCTCAAAAAACTGTTGAAAAACACCCTTCACCCATTTTTAATTCTCCAAACACTAATGGTATTTAAATTTATTTAAAGTTTTTTTTTAATTGCTTATTTATACATACATCTTTTACTTTAGGCTTTAAAGGTCGTCTAGTAGATCCAGGACGTATTTTAGATGAAGATCTTCAACTTTCCGAAACGGATTCAGACTGACTGCCATTTTGCGGCGATTTAATAAAATACCAAATACCCCAAATCGAAGCCGTTCAGTCGTGCGTCAACAATAAAAAAAATTCTTATGATTATGTATTTTTAAACCTACTTAAATCTCTTTTGATTAAAAATAAAAATAATTACAAAAATGTACTTTATTTTGAATAAGGCAAACAAATCAACAAGAATAACTTGTATATAAATTACAAAAAAAGTTTCATTTGGCTAACAGAATAAGTTTACTAAAGAGTTTGCATACATTAAAGGTTTCACAGGTGGATGAGGTACAGCAGTATATGTTGTAAACTTTGGCTTAAGGCAGTGTCCCTCGAGTGTGATAAATGCTCCTTTGTTACCCATTGTGTCACAATAATTTGGAGCAGAAAACACAGTAATACACTTCGAATCATGTGCTTCTTCATAGCCGTTAGCTTTGACCTCGTGGCTACGGATAATATAATCTAAGTTGTTGAGTTCAACAAATGTTTTGGTAACATCAGGTCCAAATTGTACTCCAACACCACGTTTACTCGGAGAACGTCCTGGAGCATCTTGAGGATCTGACCACAACATGTCGCACATTAGTCCTTCTTCTGGTGGTTGCCTATTTCGGTAAATATTTTCAATATCCTTTAGTGTAACATTATCTTTGGAAAACAAACCGCCGTGCATAACTAGGACACGTCTGTTGATGCAGTGGGCAAGTGGAAGCCAGTTGTAAACCTCTGTGAAAAGGTTAGCCATTTCAACTGAATATTTAGACTTTACCTCGCCTTCAAATCCATACATTCTATTCATGGTAACGCTTTCATGGTTACCGCGAGACATAAAGAATTTATCAGGAAAGAGTAGTTTGAATCCAAACAGAGTAAAAATACATTCAACCGAAAACGATCCTCGGTCGACAAAATCTCCATTGAACAAATAAGGATTTGTATCTGACGGTAAACCGTTCAATTCGAATATGTTCAACAGATCGTAGTACTGGCCATGGATGTCGCCACATACAGTAAATTTCTCATCAGACTTAATATTTATGTGAACAAGAGTTGGTTGTTTTTCTAAATATTTTTTAACATCCAACAGTATCTTGTAAGCGTGTCTTTTATGCAACTTACCCTGTTCCCGGTAAGTCTTGATGAGTTCTTTCATGAACTCGAGCGTGACTTTACCGTCGTTTAAGCACGGTCCGCTGTAATCGTTTTCGATGTTCATCGATTCGATGTCTATTTGTTCGGAAACGCTCTTGGTGTCTTCCACGGATATGGCTTTCTCAAAGGCCAACCGCTTGACCAGTTTGTTGCATTCGGTGTACTTGCCTTTGGCGTCCTTGTCGCTGGGCAACGCCTTCACGACCACCTCGTAGTCTTTGAGGGCTTCCTTGAACTTGCCGAGCGACATGTACGCCGTGGCCCGGCGATAGTATCCCTTCAGGTACTTGGGATCGAGCTGTATGGCTTTGGTGGCGTCGGCCAAGGCGTAACCGTATGCTTCGGTTTTGGAATGAGCGAAACTGCGGTTCGCATAGTACGCGGCGAAATTGTGAGGTTTCGTCGACGAGCTTTCGCACATCGCAATCGCTTTGGAATAGTAATCGATGGCGTCTGCATAGCGTTTGGCGGAGAAATGGACGTTCGCTTCTTCTTTCATCCGCTCGGCATGGGTGATGTCCGCTTCGCGATAATCCAACTTGCATTCGCCGTTCATGTCGGTAAATTTTATAAAAAACAAAACTAAAAGGAACAAATTAATAATTCAAACACACGAATTCGGGTTGAAAAAAAAATTTTTTTTTCAATACAACTATTATTATTTACTCTACTCGCGGGTACTTAAATGCGAAAAATTGATAATTTCAAGCGAGAATAAAATTGTATTTTGTTTATTTTTATTAATAAAAAAAAAATTACAGACTAGTAGACTACAACTACAGTGTGTTCGTGATAATCACGTGATGTATACTTATCAAAATATTAACTTTATAATGGATAATATTTTATTAATAACGAAAACATTTTTATCACGTTGAGAATAATGTGAATAATTATTGTTTAACGAAGTAAATACTTGATGGCCATCGGCAAACATTTACATTTATTTTTTTGCAAATAACTTTGGGATACAATTTTAAACAATTTTCGAAAATTTTAACTTAGAATTAGGTTGGCAATTATCTGAGCGACTTCACGATAAACGGAAAATCATTGGCTGGGAAGGTGGTCGCCGGGGGGTAACTATATGCGGTAAACACGTGATAAATACAAATAAAATAAATAAATATTATAAATACACAAAAATAGATAATAGATAATATGTAATCACTTTTGATTTTTTCTGTTTTCTCGAATTTCGAGACAGAATCTACTGTGGAGAGTGAGAGTGGATTATAATTTATTTCATATTAATTTAAGTTTTTTAAAACTTTATTAATTGTTGTTTTAATTTCTACGGTTTTTCTACGAGTTGTAATTTATATTGTTTATTGCTAACGATAATTCTTTAATTTATTTTGCCTTCAGTCCTAAAGGGAATTGTCAATCATGAGTGAAACATTGAAAATGTTAAAAGAACAATCTAAAATAAGGAAAAAGTTATTGGCCAAAACGGTAAACTAAACAAAGAATTTGATTAAAAAAAAAATTTATCCACGTAATGTATATTTTTTTTTAAATTGTTATTTGCAGTTGGGGTTTTCTGATGTTCAACAGTTACGAAGAGCTTTGAATACTCATAGGGAGGCCACACCAATGAGTTCCGTTCGTAAAGTAGTAAATAAATGTAATGCCCAACCAAAGAGTCCAGAACATACATACAATGATTCATCAACATTTCTCAAAGGTACGCAGTCATCTAATCCACACAATGATTATTGTCAACATTTTGTTGATACTGGTCAACGTCCACAAAATTTTATTAGAGATGTTGGTCTTACTGACAGATTTGAAGAGTATCCTAAGCTAAGGGAGTTGATTCGCTTAAAGGTATTAATATAGAATATATTATATTGGAAATGTTTAAGTTTATATAATTAAGAAGTTGATGTAATATAAACTTATTAAATTGTTTATTTATGTCAGAAATTAATACTTATAGGTTTTCAAATAGCTGTACCTATGTCATATTGTTTTCTAATCAAACAATTATTTTATACATTTCTTAAAAATATTTGTTTTATCTACATACTTTGAATTTTGAATAGGATGAACTTATACAACAAACTGCTACTCCTCCAATGTTTCTGAAATGTGACCTTAGCACGTTTAATTTAAAATCATTAAACCTAAAATTTGATGTCATACTTGTCGAGCCTCCACTCGAAGAATATCAACGAACCTTGGGTGTAACCAATACAAAATTATGGAATTGGAAACAGGTTAGTCTTCTTCATAAATACAACACTTTAAATAATAACCACCTGGAACTATAATTCTTATTTATAAGCAAATAATATGCCCATGATAATATAGGATTCATCTAAGTAGTCATCTATTAAAAAATCAAATATGCTCGGAATTCAATCTTTTCAAACTCTATTTAATCTTTACTCATTAACTGTTATAATAACATACTATATAGTAGTACTATACTATACTATACTCCATATAGACCAACAACGATAACATCAAAATAAATTTACTTTGATGTCTTTTCATGAACTCTAACTGTTTTACCATTTGGTTAAGAATGAGGTTAATATCATTGATGTATAAATTAAATGTAAGTACTTATTAGTTAATTTGTTGAGAGAAGTCCCCGAGCAGCACTTTCTCTCAAAACTTCATGCCTTAAAATAAAATAAAAATATATTATTGCATTTTTTTCCCATTACCTATATAGTTATATCTTATATGTACTTGAAAATATTTTAATTTATATTGTCCAGTGTAAAGCTTTATTATTATGTATATCTTATTTCACTGGATATTATTTCATATTATTACCTAAACATAATAGTTATTTATGTTTTTTTTTTAATTTGAATAGATTATGGACCTAGAGTTAGGCGAATTAGCTGCTAATCGTAGTTTTATTTTTCTCTGGTGTGGTTCATCTGATGGTTTGGATAAAGGTCGTGATTGTTTACGACGATGGGGTTTTAGACGTTGTGAAGATATTTGTTGGATTCGAACAAATTCTAAAAATCCTGGACATTCAAAAAATCTAGAGCCTAATGCTGTCTTTCAACGCACTAAGGTTAACTTTTATTAAAATAACAATTATTTTTAATTATTACCATGGTTCGTTTTAACTAATTGTATAAATTATAGGAGCATTGCTTGATGGGCATCAAAGGAACAGTTCGTCGATCTACAGATGGTGACTATATTCATGCTAATGTTGACATTGATTTGATTATTAGTGAAGAGAATGAACACGGTTCAATAGAAAAGCCTGTTGAAATATTTCATATTATTGAACATTTTTGCCTGGGAAAAAGAAGGTATTTCATCCAATAAACATTACAATTTTTAATTTAAAAGTTATTGAGGTTTTAATTTTTTTGTTACTGTTGGACCTGTTGTTTACTTGTTGTTTTATTGTTTTGCACTTAGATTGCATTTGTTTGGACGAGACAGTACTATACGTCCAGGATGGCTGACTTTAGGACCTGAATTGACTAATTCTAATTTCAACACAGAAATGTACAATGGATATTTCAACAATGGGCAATTAACAACAGGTTGTACTGATCGTATTGAGGTCCTTAGACCAAAGTCTCCTCCACCTAAATGTAAAATACCTATAGGAATAAGAAAAGGCAACCCTTGTATGAATAGAGGTAGAGGAAGAATGTAATAATTATTTTTTAATGTCAAATACTGTTATTTAAATGGTTTTATTAATTTGTGTATTTGTGTATTTGTGTCATAGATATAACAATATATGATATGATGATATCATATCTACGATTTGTGTAAGCTTGAATAATTTTATAACAATTTGTAAATAAAATATTTTTTAGTTATGTTAGGACTTAGAATATAATTTTCTATTCCTCATTCTCCTTGTTCTTTGTAGGTACTTAATCATGCCCAAATGTCAATTTCCAAATGCCACTTGAACTTTTAAGTGCAAATATGTAATATATATATACAGCGTGATTCTTTTATCAAACAACACTCATTATTTCAAAAAGTGTACATTTTTTTGAAAATATTTTTTTACATAGTTTCAAGTCGCTTATAAAACAACGTTTTTATTAAAAAATTATATTTTTAAATATTTTTTATCCTTATAATTTTTTAAGTTTTTTACTTTTTTGAATAACAACATAGGGTTTTAATTTTATATTCCAAAGCAGAATATTTTTCTTAGTATTTTGATACATGAAAATCGAATTTGGGTTGAGCAGTTTATGAGTTATAAGTATTTAAAGTTTAGACGAGCGGAGTGGAGTGGTTCGGGGTTACCCCGCGAAATGTTTGTCCACTTCACCGCTCGTCTAAACTTTAAATACTTATAACTCATAAACTGCTCAACCCAAATTCGATTTTCATGTATCAAAATACTAAGAAAAATATTCTACTTTAGAATATAAAATTAAAATCCTATGTTGCCATTCAAAACAGTAAAAAACTAAAAAAATTACAAGGATAAAAAATAATTTAAAAAATAATTTTTTAATAAAAACGTTGTTTTATAAGCGACTTGAAACTATGTAAAAAAATATCTTCAAAAAAATTTACACTTTTTGAAATAATGAGTGTTGTTTGATAAAAGAATCACCCAGTATATATATATTATATTTACTACTAAATGTATTTTTCTTCCTAGTTATAAATCATAATATTTAATTTAAATGTTAGATAATTGTATTTACCATGTATTATATAAACATGTATTAGTTTTTATATTGTTATGCATGGGCGCCCACAGGCCCCCCCTCCCACTATATTAGTTTTTTATTATAATTTTTATTCGATATTATAACTTTGGCAGCAGGGTCCATTAGCTTTAATATATTTTAGTTAATATGAATATTATTTAAAGACTTGTAAAAAAAACTGTATTGGCTGTATTATCAGAGATTTTTGACTCTGTCTTCCCCCCCATGGGTTTATATTATTGAGGACGCCTTTGATATTATGTACTGTATTTGAGCCAGTATGGGCATTTATAGTTTATACTAATAAATAAATATTGAACAAAAAGTTTTAGAATTAATGAATTGGTTTTATTTTGGTTAAATTCTTTTTTCAACAAAATGCTTTGGTTTTAACTTTGAGTGTGGTTTTTTGTGAACAATTGGAAATAGTTGGACAAGAGAAAATCGAGAATTTCTATGCAAGACCAATTTTTGATAAATTTGATTTGTTATTCTGTTTTTAGTATTTTATAATAAACGTTGTATGATTATCAATACATATTGTTTGTTTTTGGGCTGTTTTATATTTTACATATGAGATATTCGATTTTTTAAAGTTTTTTTTTTCAATTTATATACTTGTAGTAAAATCTATACATATAAAATCCAAATACCACTGACTTACTCATCGCTGTAACTCATAAACTACACAACGTACGAACTTGAAATTTGGAATAGAGGTTATTCTTATATTTTCACCGCGCAATAAGAAAGGATTTTCAAAAAGGTTGCTTTTTAGTGGAGTAATTAACAATTATAATTAAATACCGGCAATATGTATATACGGTGGACCGCGGGTTTCCAGCTACCTGCAACCTGTCTTTTTTGTCCGAAGGTCAAG